CTCTCTCCTCTCTCTCTCTCTCTCTTTCTCTCTTTGGCCTTTCCCATACCATTCCCAGGCTACTCTTCCTCTCCCTTCTACCTGATTGTCATCTAATCTTAATCCATTCCCTCTTTCACTCTATCAGCAATCTCCTTAATAACCTCTATCACAAACACACCTTCCACTAATCCAAAATCCACCTCAGCTCAGACTTCCGTTGACCCCAGAACAACTAGGCATTTCTACATGGTTATCCCCATACATATACCTAAAACTTACCAGGTTCCAGGCGACACTCATTTATCCCTACTTTACACCATTTTGCCTTTTCTTCTGTTTTGCTTGTCCCAAGTAATGGATTCATCAGTTTCACATTTAAGATGATACCTGGGTGCTGGAAGTCTTAATTTATAAAAGCTTGGCTTTTGTTGGAGTCACAGAACGAGAGAAGGGCAAGGAGATGAGGTTGAGGATAAGTAGGTCTTCTGCATCTAAGATTTCAGAGATATCTAATGTTAGCCAAACCACAACAAATTCCAAACTATAGAACTAAAAGTTAAAGTGAGAGGAATGTCTGATTCTGGGAAGAAAGGAAATGAAATAATTTTGAGGCTAGGAAGGTCATTCAATGACCCCTGAAGAGACAGTAGGGTGGTGGCAGGATCATGATGACGAAGAAAGCAGAGGGTAGGTGCAAAGCCTTCAGTAAATGTGGAGGAATGCCTGTGCAGTAGGTAACTGACAGTAGTGACGGTGGGGAGAATGTAGTTCAGCTGGATGGTATAAATCTTTATAGGCCAGGAGGGTGGTCTTGAAGCGTTTATATCTTTTGCATTTGTTATGGCGTGTGGGAGGTCTAGTAACTCACATAATTGGCATAGCATTCTTATTTATGAAAGCAAAAAAACAAAGTTGCAGTTGCAGCAGCCCCTGTGTATTTACTCTTTTGGTTTACTGATGAAATTTCATCTGGGAAGTGAATCATCGGAGGATGGGATAACAAGTGTCTTGTTATCCCATGAATATTACACGTCTTAGGAAAAATTATTTAAGGAAATACATTATCAGCGTCCTAAGCAGAAATATCTTCTGGGTACCAGAGGGTCTAACTTACCTCTGGGATGACTTTCCTCTCTTGCCTTACAGGGACCAGATGGCCCTCGGGGTGAAACAGGCCCTCCAGGACCTCAGGGTCCCCCTGGACCCCAAGGACCAAGTGGTCTGTCTATTCAAGGAATACCTGTGAGTTGAGTGTAAACAGTCAGATAGGTTTTGTTATTATCATTTCTCCGTGAGTTATAAAGAATGAACGTTTGTCTTCTGTGCCTTAATTATGATCCTTAGCCCCTATCAACTCCTACCTACAAATAAGAATTGAGAAATAAGAGTAATGACTGAAAGTTCATTCGTTAGCCATTTTTTGGTTCAGTGATGACGTCTTTTACAAACACATACAAGGCTATGGAGTACATATATCCATGAACAATTGGTCTGTAGAATAAAAACAGGGCTTGTCATGTATTGCCCTTTTTCTTGTTTGACTAAGTCCTTAGTATTAACAAATGTTAAGTTATCCATTATGTATTTATAGTGATTGTGGATATATATTTATGAAAGTCTTTTACTTACCATCTTTACCTCAATGAGCATCAAAGTACAGTACATTAAGTATGAGTTTTAGATGATAAATGGTGTATTTTTATAGCCTCATTTCTTTTTAAAAGTTGTTTAGACCACTGAAAACAAATTTAATTCCACTCACTTATTTTCATTAAACTTACCATAGAGATCTAGATTTATAGACTAAAACCAATCTCTGTAATTAATATTTGAAGCAAACAGATCCTTTGAAGCCATTTTAGCAGTCTCTCTGTGCACATGATATGTTCCCTAGCTAAGTTTTCTTTTCCGGGGTTATTTTCACATTTTAGAAAGCATCAACATGCCAACGTGTGCAATTACTGCTAATAATAATAATAATAATAATAAGCATTTGTTGAGGTTTTACCAGTGTCTGTGTTTGCTTTCCCGTTCTTAAAATTAGCCAAAGTAAAACAAAAATCTATATGGATAATGGCTTTAAAATCTAAACTATAAACAATATTGAAATGTCCAAAACTCCCCTCCACATATTTACTCTATGGGCTTAACCATATCGGACTGTATGTTCTATGTTTAAACTATTATGATATATAAATATTCAGCTTACTAGGAAAGCTTACGTAAGTAGTGTAGCGTATGTGAGAAGTGAAATATGCTGTATTTGGATGTTAGTGTGAAGCAATTTTATGTTGAAAATATTAGAACAGTCCATGGAGAAAAAGAAAAGACAAAGTATTGACCAGTATGAACTTAACCCCATGTACTTTTTGGATATTCAGGGAATGCCAGGTGAAAAAGGGGAGAAAGGAGAGACGGGCCTGCCTGGTCTACAGGTATTATTTCTGTTCTTTTTAGTCTATTGCTCTTAGCTCTAGACTAGAGCTAATGGTGGTCGGGGGTTGGGGGGGTTAGGGAGAGAGTATAGTTCTGAAGTTAGCTGGAATCTTGGCAATAAGTGGTTTCTATTTTAAAGATGATTGGTCTGTATTCATTTACCTTATGCCCCCTCTAAGGGTCGTACTGATGGTCTCAGGGTGAGCCCTGGTGGGGGGCATTCCTTTTCTGGGTTCTGAATGGTCAGTCAGAAAGATCTCACCTATTAGGTTTAGGGGGAGGCCTTAGTTTGTTTCGGGGGGGGCTTGGTGAGAGTGTAGCTGGTTTCCATGAATCTGACTCTTATCTTGTCCTTGTTCTATGTAGGGTATCCCAGGAGGCATTGGCTCACCAGGACGTGATGGCTCTCCAGGCCAGAGGGTAAGGACTTACCCAAGGTTGGTTGTTAGCACAGTAGATTCCTCACCAAGTCACCTTTTGCTTCTGGCAGGTTTCTATACAATGCAGTCTATCAAACCAGGTTTTTTTCTTTTCTTTTCCCTCCTGTCTATTTACAGTCTATCTATCCTGCACCTACTTCCCTTCACTGACATCTTCTATGTCTATTATTTTCATCAAAATCTGGGAATTTTCATCAAACCTTCCCAAATTAGCATCACCTCTTTCTTAAGGTTCTCATAACCTGAATACACTTTGCACTGAATTGTATGTATCATTTGAGCAGATTTTCCAATTTTTTCTAATTCTCACAGCACAAACCTAAAGAAAATGAAGAACCATGAATCAAAATTTAAATATAATGATGATCTGCAGTACTCGCCTTTTATTTAATGTATGTCAATTATTTTTTTAACTTGTTGAAGTGGACAGCAGTCAAAGAAATTATAAGGATGGTTAGAAGAGGGAGGAGATAACATTTAGTGTTCATCAGCATCTTCACTGAGCCAGGTTTGAGGTTCTTGTCCTCAAAGATTTTGCAGCTTAGAGGGAGGAGCCATAATAATGCTATGAAAGGGTATTTACAGAGTCCGTGGGAATACAAAGGATAGATAACTATTCCAGACTTCAGGGTTTGGAAGAGCTTCCCAGAGGAGGCTGAGTATGAACTAAGAGATAGAAACTAGCCTGGTGCATGAAGAAAGGAAAGCTACAGCAAGCAGAGGAAAATGGCATATACAAAGCAGAGGAAATGAACAGTGTGGGCACTTCCAGTATTGCACATGGGTCAGTATGGCTGGAGATTAGAGTGCAGGGTGTGTGTGTGTGTGTGTGTGTGTGTGTGTGTGTGTGTGTGTGTGTGTGTGTGTGTGTGTGTGTGTGTGTGTGTGTGTGTGTGTGTGTGTGTGTGTGTATGCCACACACATGTGCACATAATCTTAGAAGTGGGGAAATTGTCCGAAAATGAAGCTGGAGAGGTAAATACATATTCATTTAAATCATCTATTTTCTTTCAGAGTAAGGATTTGGGGGTTTAACAGGAAGGCAATAGGAAGTCTGAATTTTCAGCAAGGGAGAGAGAGACTGGTCTTCCCTAAACGATCACTGATTTAGACATGTAGGCAGGTCCATGGTTTCTCTCAAAACTGAATTATAAGGAGTTGCAATCCAATCCAATGAAGGACAGACAATATGGTGTCTTTGGTATAACTTACGCATTAGGTTAAAAAACAATTGGCTAGAAGACTCACTTCTCTACTCAAACAAGGCTTGCTTGAGTACCTTCAGCTCAGGGTACCTGTTCTACTCAAGAATAAGGACATTGCTTTTTCTATAGAAAGCTAGGTGTGGGACCTTAAATTTTTCCATGTTCTTTTTTCCCCTCCACCAAACTTTCATTTGCTTAAAAACCCAGTTTAGTTTCTGTCCATCAAATGGAATTACTCAGTCTGCAAAGCAGGGCCAGGTGAATGTATCTAAAGGAGGCATTCTCTGAAAGTTAGATTTATGTAGGTTTCTTGTACATGTGGAAGGTGTGTCTAGAGTATTTATATGTTTTGGCAAAGGGCTTAGGCTAAGATCCTGTGTGGTTACCCACCTAGATTCTTTCATGATTCCCAAAGTTCTGAAAATGGCAATTTCACTGATTTGGTTCAGTGAATTGACTTGATTTATCCATGTCTAGAGTCCAATGTTGGCAAAGAACTCCCAATTCAAACATATTGGATTCATGTTGGGATCGTTTGGTTTTGGAATTCTTTTTTTTAAAAAACCAATATACCAACACAGACTTTTTGTAAATATTTTGCTATTCCTCCAAACATGTTTTCTTTTCTAAGATTAAAATCTTAGAGCTGTAATTAAGTGATAAGATATCTGTATATGGATTTTATTTTCCTCTCTCCCTCAAGTTAGAGGGAAAACGTTCAGGGTATGTCCAATTCCTACTTGAAAAATTCTTAGATTGGTATGAACTTGCTTTTTAAGACTGGTTTCAGAGGATACTCATTCTTTATAGGGTAGGTTAAAAATAAAAAAAGATTTTGGGAATACTGTGACAGTTGTTTCAAAAAAGATATTTGAGGGCAATGAATTTCCAGTGTACAACTCGAAGGGGTGCCATTCACAGAGAGCAAAGCAGATGGTGTCCCTTGGAATTATGTAATGTCGCTGCCCTGTTTGCAGAAAGGAGTGGGTATATATTTTAACATCGATATCTTATTTAATAAAAAGATTCATTGAGCACATATTTTAATTGAGCATGTGCTATGTCCCATGGACTATGCTCAATCAAGAATCATGTCCATTCATGCCTCCAGAGGGGAAGGACCCAAAGTGAGAAACTTTCTATATCTAAGGAGGCACTTCATAGACCTGGAGGAAATGGAAGGATGAGGTGTCAAGGGCATGACTCTTCCCTTAGCCATGAAAATTGTCTTTCTCAGAGAGAGTCGAGAAGGAAGAGAAGTGGGTAAAAACAAAGTTATTTAGTTGGCTCTGATGTGTTTAGTCAGATAACCTTTTAAGAAAAGTAAAGGGTTTAAAACAATTGAGTAGCTATTTAGCAGGACTGTAAATTCAAGATTTTAGGAAGTCCCAGACCAATTGACATGGTTGTAGGGACAGATCCAGGACTTTGAAGACCAGGGCTTTCTGGGACAGCAGGAGTGCCCAGGGGTCTTTGGTTAAGCAGGAGGGGTGAGGGGTTGTTGAAAGAGTCCTAGGACAAACACTGACGATTATTGCTGCTCTTCCTTGGGCCACCCTAAAAGGCAAACCTGCAATTGGGATATAATAATGACAATAATGACAATTACAAGCGTGGCACAGAACAGACAGGGCAAACCCAGTACACGATGAGACTTACTGCTGACATGCCTGGGAAGCCACTCCCAGGGAGCTGCCCAGTTCAGCTCAGTGTCCAGGGGATCAGGAAGCAGAGATATTTTGTTTTTTCATCACTGTAAGCGCTTCAATGACTTAACAGTTCCTGCGACTTCATTTCCTCTGATCTTGAATGAAGGCACAGAAGGAGGAAGCTGGACTAAATGTGTGTGATGCTGTCCAGTCAGTGCTCCTAGCTCCTTGGAGAGTCTCAGGGGGTCAGTGAGCGAGGTGTGCTGTAGGAGAGGTGGGTGATTCCTTACTGCACATTCTTCTTTTAAATCTTTGTCTTCTCATATGGATTGTTAAGAACTCATAGCCCAAAGCTAGTACCATCACATTTACTGTGAGATTAGAGAAAGGTTAGCACCTCTTTTCTGGACCCGGTGCCAGTGTTACCCCTTGACTTAGTCTGGAAGGAGGGAGAGCTTAACAAAGAATAAAAAGGAGAAGATTAAACACCTCCCCTTTAAACAGGGAACTTGTTTTCTAGTGTTTCTAGCTTAGTCTGGCTTTTCCCAAGGGGGATCTTTGACTCCTCGAGGAGGCAACTCATATTCCATCCTGGCCCTGAGGCCACAGAGCAAGTCCAGTCAAAGTTGGACTTCTTCTCTGAACACGTCTCAGCCTCTTGCTGGGGAGGCGATAGAGCACAATGCAGGGCCACACTCTATAAAGCAACAGTGCAAATGCAGTGTTAACAGCTGAATGCAGTTAGGCATCCAGCTTTCACTGTGAGCCTTTCCAACCACCAGCATTCTTGTCTCATTTTTCTTTTCCACTGTAGATCTCGCCACCTGCCTCTTCCCCCTCCCTCCTCTTTTCTGGGTGTCTGTGACTCCAGGGAATACCCTGTGACCTTGAGCTTCTCTGTTATAGGGTGGATTTCTCAGCCTTCACTCTAGACATTCTGGCGATTCTTAGAGAAATTAAGAGCAGGCAAGACATAGATTATAAGCCTAAGAACTGAGAGAAAGAACTGAAAAGAAAGAAAAGAAAAAAGCAACCTCTTTTCTAGTTCTGAGGCTCACATCCAAGACCACCAGCTTTCAGTCAGGCACTCCCAATAGAAGCTTTAAGCATTGTTTTCATTTTCAATTCATAATGTGGTTATAGAAAAAATCAGAGAGACGAGAAATAAAAATGAGAAGGAGATATATAGTTTATGGCACCCGGAAGATAGTCATTCCTCTGTGATAAAAAAGGGTATTCATTTTTAAATTCCAAGTAAACTTCATTTAAATTGCTTCCTTCTCCCAGGTTTCTGCTCCCTGTATTTCCATGCCCTTGCCATAACCACAGCCTTTCTTTCTAATCTATAAAGATGAAATGCTGTCTTTAAAAAAACTCCTACATATGGATTCTGCAAAATCTGTGAGGTTATGAAAAGCAGGACTGCCCAGTGGTGAATATCCTAGACTTATACTGTTAGCCAGACCTGAGTTTGAACCCTAACCATAAGACATTGAGCCAGTTACTTTATATTTCCAACCCTCACTTTCTTCATCTGTGAAGTGGAAAAAATAATATTTGACTCCATAGCGTCGTTATGGGGATTCATTCATATAAAGAATTTCTATATAAAAATTCAATTTTTGCTGATATTAGTACTAACTCTTTTCAATGTAATCCTAATGAGTCAGGACAGGGTAATATTTTATAATGCCTGTTCTTCACATATTAAGATGCCTCAAATCATTTTAAGAACTATTTTTAAAAATCTAAAGGAACCCTGTCTGGTTTGGCTCAGTGGATAGAGCGTCAGCCTGTGGACTGAAAGGTCCCAGGTTCGATTCTGGTCAAGGGCATGTACCTTGGTTGTGGGCATATCCCCAGTGGGGGGTGTGCAGGAGGCAGCTGATCAGTGTTTCTCTCTCATCGATGTTTCTAACTCTATCCCTCTTCCTTCCTCTCTGTAAAAAAAATCAGTAAAATATATTTTTAAAAAATCTAAAGGGAAAAAAGTAGTTTATTGTCGGTGTTGAATTTTCTTGGATTTTATATTGAAAAGACACTTGGAACATACTTCCTTTTATGTGGGTTTGATGTATACAAGGGCCATTTTTGTGATGACTGTCCCATTTCATCCAAGTCAGTTG